CCCCCCACCGAAAAAAAAAGTTACAGAGACTTAGTGGAGTTAGGATTCAAGCCCAAATCCAGTGATACAAAGGGCCATGTTCTTAACTCCTGTCCTGTTCACAGTTCAAACTGTGAAGAGAATAATCTTAGCATCGGTGGGGTGAACTACTTCGGAGTCCTCAGTGATTGAACTGGGTTAGACTTGGACGAGGAAATGTGATTTTATGCCTCTTCTCTGACACAACTCATTTTCATGCCATCTCTCCTATCTGTTCAGACCTCTTTTTGAAGTGAGTTTTCACAGTGTGTGTTTTATTATGAACTACACCTGAACGTATTTGTGTTACACTAATCTGTTATCTTTAAGAGTTTCACAGACAGACGAGAGGGCCTTTGGCTGTTAAAGACATTTTCAAATATCTATTTTCTCCTCCAGCCTGTCATACAGATTTACAAGTGCGGGCAGCAAACCACGCTCCATTTATTTGAAGTGTCCTCATGTTCCCTCCTAAGGAACTCGCCACATTAATATCCCCCTAGATTGAATCCAGTCTGCATACGTGTGCATGGACACGACATGCACAAACGTTTCTATCCCAGAAGACTCAGTACATAACTCGGAAACACAAGAGGGACAGCTACAGTTCATCTGGAAAGCAGAGAGACTTCTCACATTGTTTCTCCGGTGCTTCCATTAGCCTTGAATGATGGGAACTGTTGTCTCTCGGCTTGAGGATTCTGCTGCTCAAGAGCACTCGGTGGTGCTCCCTTATATTGCCATTAAGTGATCATCTTTACTACCTCTCTTCCTTTTCCTGCAAGTCACCTTGTTGAAATAGGAAGTCAAACCAGAACAAGAGGCAGGCTGAGGAATGGCACTAACAGGGGCCCTCCAGGGCCATTGGTTGACCAGTGGGACTGCAAGATAGGCATGGCTGCGTTGGTGAATTTCTGGTGTTATTAGATGCCTTCAAGGTCATTCCAACTCGTAGTGACCCTGTGTACCATAGAAGGAAGCACTGCCCAGCTCTGCCTCGTCCTCTCAATTGTTGCTCTCTTGGTGACTTCCAGCTCAGTTTAACCAGATGCTGAGAAGTTGATTCTGACTCGCATAGGCCAGACTGACCTCCAGTTGTGTGCCACAGTAGAACTGCAGGCCACAGGTCTCCATTGGCTGCTGTTCCAGCAGTAGCTATCCAGGCCTGACTTCTTAGAATCCTCTGGGTGGACTAGCTTTTTTAGGTAGCAACTGGGTGCTAACCATTTGTACCACCTAAGCTCAGCTTCAAAACTCAAACACCTACTGCCAGTGAGTCAGCTCCCATGCAGTGACCTATCGGACAGGGTAGAACTTCCCCTTTGTGCTTGTGAAACTGTAGATCTGCACAAGAGCAGACAGCTCTTCATCTTTCTCCTGCAGAGCAGCTACTGGGTTTAAACGGCCGACCTCGCAGTTAGCAGCTCAGTGCATGACTCACGCCATAACCGGCGCTCTTCAAACTCAGTTCAGGAGTACCCATTTAGTCCAACGAAAGAGTAAAGTGGAGATCGGTGAAGAATAAACTCATCTTGCAAGTTTGGGAAGAAAGAACGTTTTTAAAGACTCTTGAAAAATAACAATTTTTCTTTTTTAACTGAAGGAAAGGAGCTAAAGAGAGCAGAAAGAAGAGTGTATGTTTCTGCTGTCGCAGCACTGACACTAATCTGGCACCGAGCCTCCAGCAATGGAAATAAATGCCTGTGGATCAAGACTGAAGAATAGCAAAAGGACTCATAGGATCTCCCCTTTTACTCGCCTGGAGAAAAACTGGAGAAGAAATGAGTTCTTATTTCTGTATCTTTTATTGAAAGGGAAACTATAGAACAGACTCAAACACAGTATGGAAAGTTAACGTCAACAATAAATGGAGCCTCATATACCCTTTCCCTCCAGTTACTCAAAACTCACTGCCATTGAGTCAATGCCAGCTCCTTCCTAGTGGCCGTATCCGATGGGGTCGAACTGCCCCTGTGGGTTTCCCAAACTGTCAGTCTCTATGGGAGTAGAAAGCTTCATCTTTTCCCATTGGGCAGCAGGTGGTTTTGAACTGCAGATCTTGTAGTTAGCCGCACAATGCATAATCACTACACTACCAGAGCTCCTGCCTACTAACCAAGTGAACAGAAAATTAATTTGGAATCCAGCCAGTTGAAATGTATCTGATCTGGTGGAAAGAGATTGGACTACAGTTCTGAAGCCCAGATCTCAAACCCATGTCTATCAAGATTTACTGTGTGGCCTTGTGATGCTTGAGTGTCAGTTAAGTGCTCCACACACCTGTTAATTTGGGGAGAAGAGTGAGTTCTGTTATATTAACTCTACGAGCATCCCCCCCGCCCCCCACAACTCACTCCTTTCTACCTTTCTTTAGGTCCAGTTGAAAAGTGAAGAAACCAAAACGTTTGCTATGAAGATCCTCAAGAAACGGCACATCGTGGACACCAGACAGCAGGAGCACATCCGATCGGAGAAGCAGATCATGCAGGGAGCACACTCCGACTTCATCGTCAGGTAAAGGTTCCGCCCCCCGGTGTGGTGGCCCAACTCCAAGTGGCAAGTCAACCACAAGGCCCTCGGCCACGTGTGCACACTGTTACACACTTTAGTCACACACACAAAAACACTTTTCTAAATCGGATCTTAATGAAGTCTTCTTTGATTGAAAAAGCGGAGGAAGAAAATTCTAAAGCTTATATTCTGTTATTACGCACTCAGGCCCCCCTGGAGAATCACATTCTTTGAAAACAATATGTTTTTTCTAAAAGAGGTATGAGAATTTTTTACGTTCCGTTTTTATCCTGTTATTCCAAATTGACTCAGAGTAAAAGACAAATATTAGAAATCCAATTGTTTATTTAACCTGTCGTTATTTGAAGATTAAAAATAAAATGGCCAAAGGATAACGGAGACTGCAGGTGGTTTCTTAGAAGTTTTCTAACTATTTTGCTGGTGGTACTTGCTGAAAATAAGCCAAACTTAGGTGTTTATCACCCAAACTTCATACATACCATATTTACAAAGTGCAATCTATTTTATATCTCGGTACACTTGCATGCTTTTAATACCTAAATATTACTCGAGTTTCTGCTTCATCAGGAATAAAATTAGAGTTAGAGGGCTCCTAAGGAACGCTCTTTGTCCATAATCATCGGATTAATCCATTAGAGGGAGAGACAAAGACGATGGTGTGCTAGGATTTCGGATCCTCTTCCCTATCCATGGACTTAGATCTCTCTCCTTCTGATAAAATTTCAGTCTTGGAAAATGAAGATAAAGAGTGTATTCTGGGAAGGCAAAACATTGACATGCTTCCGAAGAGAACCATGCTTATAACCTTTATGTCTTGCTTGCACCTTACAGACTATACAGAACATTCAAGGACAGCAAATATCTGTACATGTTGATGGAGGCTTGCCTAGGTGGAGAACTCTGGACCATACTCAGGGATAGGTAGGAGAATTGAGAAATGTCTGTCTTATCTCTGAAGAGGTTCTTGGCTATGATGATCTGTATAAAAAACTCAGATGTTGTGAAATATAAAATTGCATATTTACATACACTTATATTTTAAACTGTAAAGTGAACATTGGGCACAACTCGCTGTACATATGTGACCACTATAGACACGGAATATAGTCTGCCACGCAGGAGACAAATTTAGCCTGCAATAAAACATGGTAGCTGGCAAGGTCTATACACAGGCCTTAATCTAGTGTGGGTACCAAATTCACCCAACTGTATATCTAGAATTAGATTCACTACTTTAATAAGAGGAGAAAGATAGATAGTTTTGCTCCTAAAGCGATAACTGAGATGATCAGGTTTTTGTGGTCTGCTTCTTCTCTGTAGGCAGGCAGTCTGCCTTTCCCAATGCTGAGAAGTTTTTCCCAAAGTAACTTTTTCCTGTGCCTTTATGTTGCTCTCCATCTTCAAAATAATCAGGTTTAAAGTCATCCATGACAGCCTTTAGCTAGTTTTAAAAATGAACTCAGTTATAAGCAGCATAGTATATGTTAGTCTGATGGGATCTACTTCTCTGTTATCCAGAGCAAAGAAATTTTGTTTAGTTTAGTTTTGGTCTGTTTTCATTATTGGAAAATCATTGTGCCTGATGTTTTCATCTTATGTGTATAACTAGAAAACTGTCTTTCAAATTTTTTTAATTTGAATTTTAAATTTTTTTCAAATTTTAAAATATCACAGAAGACCATTGAAAACTCTGTGTATATGTTTTTAAGAGTTACACTTGTGCCACATTTATTTTTCCTACAGAATGATCATTCAAAGGGCATTTTTGTTGAGTTTAGCATCCCTCTGTCGATGGCTCTATTTTCCCTATTTGTGCCAGCCTGCATCTCAAGATCTCCTTCATTGTATGACATCTTTCTGAAATGTAACTATATGGAAAATTGACTTCCCAGAGAGACTCAGGTGATTTGGGGCAGTGTGTTACTTTGTAGATCTCTAAGGATGGTTCATGTGGCTCTTTCTAAGATACGGGTTTACCTTTGGTATTTCTGGTTGTATCCCTAATTGCAGGAACATATCTTTGTACAACAGGTCCTCTTTTAAAATTTTTCTGAACTTGTCTAAATCCTTTGACCCCAGTCTATCCTATTACACAAATGTAATGTTTACTTGTTTAAATGTAAGATACTTATGTTTCCATTCAAGTTGGTAATATCTGTCAGTGAATATTTGAATATTAATGATATGCCAGATGTTAGGACAATGATTTGAGATTATGGTAAGTAACAAAATAATTGTAGCTCCCCAAAATGCTAGAAGTTGACCTAAGTTGTATGCAGAAAACCTGTGAAAGTGGAAGGCTGTGTAAGCAGAAGCTTGTCAGAAAGGGAAGCTTAAATATTTTCCACAAGTCACATTGGTAGGGAAGGGTCAGATGCACCCTGTCAGAGAAGGAGACTTGTGAGACCCGAAAAACACAGCAGCCTCATTGAAATCTGGCTCTCACAGGCTTCCCTCTATTGGGATCTGAGTTAATAGTTCACTTTTTGTTTTACGAACACTTTATTCCATAGTTTGTCAACATGCTTACCCTATTTTCTAATTGAATAAAAGGAGACTTACTTTTGGAAGTCAATGTAAATACCATAGACCACAGAATACCAGTGGTACCAGTGGTACCACCGGATTCCTTTACTCAAGCCAACAACAATACTCATAGGAATCGCAATGATGAGAGATGTCAGTCTAACCTTTGCTCCGAGGCATCCTTTGTTCACAGGAATCATTTTTCAAGTGATCATGGTAAAGCAATCGCTTATGTCTTTCCTTATTCCTATGTCTCCGACTTCATTCAGTTTGCGTTTTCTTACTCCTAAAGGCCCCTCAAGGATTCCGCAGCGGGTGTCTTTAGACCGTGTCAGAGCAGGGAAAAACCCCCATCCATGGGGACCTTCTCTCGGGAGGAGTGGATGGAGGGAAAACGTCAAGAGATGTTCATTTCTCTCCCTCCACCAGGTTACTGTTAGTGCTTTCTTTTTCCCTCTATACTTTCATCCTTGAGAGCCATTCTGATGGCACAGTGCCTAAGTGCTTATCTGCTCCCCGAAAGGACAAGGGATCAAACCTACCAGCCGCTCTGAGGGACAACAAGATGGCGATCCGTGTCAGTAAAGCCCGCAGCCTTGGTAGCCTGATGGGCCAGTTCCACTCATCTTACAGGGTTACCATGAGTCATAATCAACAAACAGCGATGGATTTCATTTTCATCGGTACACAGTTGCTCAGTCATCCCAATGCTAGGAAAGGACATGAGCTGAGCCAAATTGGCTACCTGCTTCATCTGAAAGCCCTACAGGTGCTGCAGTCTCACAGAAAGAACAATGGGTCTAACATAGATAAAATTTCCTCAGGATCATCATCCCCTGCCAGCTGTTTTTTAAATGCATTTATCTTTACTGCTTTTATCTTTTGTACTTTTTTTTTTTTCTGGTCAAGATATTACTGGGAGATAAGTATGGCTTTGGAGATTGAGGCTCCAACTAAAATCACCACTGATGAGCGTTCTCTGTCTTCATGTGCCGGCACAGCTTCAAGCTGAATTCTTGGAAAGGAAGAACAATGCCGAGAGGAAGAGGAACCGTGCTCTCAGCTATAGTGTGCATGGAAATATGGAACAATCCAAACAAACCCTGCTAGTTCCTTTAGGTTTCAGCTTCTTGTGTCTGAGGAAGAAACAAACCCCAAAGCATAAAGGAAGTGCATTTCAGGTGATTCAAGGGAAGGTGTGTGTGACTTCATTCCTTACTGACGCAGTCATACCTCTGAGCTTCAGGGACGTGGCCCAGGAAGTCTCTGGTAGCAACCCAGACATCCTCTCTCATTCCTTCATGGCTGAGAGGACCATTTCCGACTTCTCACTCGGTATTTATATTTGTCATCAGCACGGAGAGAAACACAGAGCTGCTCTGTATGTGCTGCCAAGACATAAGAATTAAATGACACCATCCAGCTACAAAAAGGATTTGAGGATTATTAAATACTGTAGATCTTAGAGACGTGAATGGTAACACTGAAATATTAAGTTGTTGGTACTTTCCTTTGTGTTATTCTTTACCAGCTAGCTTGTTTCTGTCTTCTGGTATATGACTTTTTGTCTTCCTAGTCATTATTTGGAATACCCTGGATGCCCTTTGCTATCGAGTTAATTTTGACGCCTAGCAACCCTATAGGAGAGCATAGAACTGCCCTATCAAGGGTCCAGGGTTGTACATTTTTATGGAAGCAGACTACCACGTCTTTTGCTCACAGAGCTTGGAGGGTTTGAACTACCAGTCTCTCAGTTCACGGCTGAGCACTTAACCACAACACTACCATGACTCCTTCATTTGGTATGGACGGGTGCAAATTATATTTATTCACCATTTTCCAAAATAACTAAAAATTGGCAGTTCCCACTTTTTTTATAAATATGACTGACTAAGTTGATAAGTATTCTCTTTATCTGTACAATTTTTATATAATAGGTATTCAAATGTATCAGTATTCATGCTAAATGTATATTATAATCTAATAAATGTGTGGATCATAGGAAATTATGGATAACAGTACAAAGAATGCGAATTTCAGGAGGTTGACTGAGCTCATGAAGAACCTGTGTATAAAGCAAGAAGCCATTATTAGAACGGAACAGTGGAAAGCTCTGTGGTTTAAAATCAGAAAAGTTGTTGTCAGCACTGCGTTCTTTCACCACACTTATTCAACTGCATGCTGAACAAATCATCAAAGGAATTATACTGCGCGAGGAAGGTCAGGATTGGAGGAAGATTCACGAACAGTCTGCAGTTAGCAGACGGACGCACCTTACTTGCTGAAAGCAAAGATGACTTGAAGCAGTTACTGATGAAGGTAAAAGACTCCAGCGCTCAGTACGGATTGCACCTCAACAAAAAGAAAAAAAAACCGCAAAAATAACCAGATCAATAAACAATATTATGATAGAGAAAAAAAATAGTTATCAAGGATTTCATTTTACTTAGATTCACAATCAATGCCTCTAGAGGCAGCAGTCAAGAAATCCAAACAGCCCCTTGAGCAAATTTGCTACGAAAGACCTCTTTAAAGCGTGAACAAGCAAAAAAGATTTCGCTTTGAGGACTAAGAGATATGATATTGTCAATTGTCTCACATGCATGTAAAAAAAAGCTGGACAATGAGTAAGGAACCGTGAATTGATGACTTTGGATTCTTGTGTGGGTGAAATATATTGAAAATACTATGTACTACCAGGGAGAACAAATGCATTTTGGATATATGGCACGAATGTTCCTTATAAGCAAAATGGCATCTTCTGGATATGTTATGTTGCTATGTCACGTTATGTTACGTTACGTTACATTACGTTACGTTACGTTACGTTACGTTACGGTACATTACAAGGAGACACCAGTGTCTGGAGAACGACATCATGTAAACTGGAATTTCATGAAAACAAAGAAAGACCCTTAGTCAGATGGATGAATACAGTGGCTGCCACCATGAGCTCAAATATAACAAAGGTTGTGAAGCCGGGACAGAAGTGGCAGTGTTTGTTCTGCTGTATACAGATTAGCTCTGAGATGGAGCCAACTCAACGACACCGAACAACAGCAGCAACCGACTTGAATTTAACATTGCCACTATTACAATTATTTGAAGCAGATATGAATGATTTCTACTAATGAAGTCAAGCAACCTCAGACACCATAGTTTTCAAATCACACGCAACTCACCTCCTTGTCATTTCTCTTCTTGGGTGCACTTGAAAAATAGTGTGTGACTTCCACATCCATTTTCCTTTGTATCAGCGGTTTTATGGATCTCGGATGGCATGTACTGAAAATGTCACAGGAAATGAGCCTAACTTCAGAGTAAGTTTGCCTTTCAAAAGTAACGATTGGAAATAAACCCTCAGAGGCTGTCATATACGATAGAGGCAGACAATC